GTGTTTAAATATCTTGAGCCAAGGGATGTAACTTTTGCTAAGTTTTTCCTGGATTTTGGGTTTTTACTTTCTGTATTTACATGTTCATATCCAACCAGGTCTCCCTGGAAAGTATATGCAACCTGGTACTTATACCGAGTCTGTCAGATCACTAGTATTAAGTAATACTTTACAGTTCTCATTTAAATTCCTTGCTTATTTCTTCTATTTGATATAGAATCCTAAAGGTGGCTTTAATATTGTTCTTTCCTTATTATTTGTCAAGAAGCTTGTTGTGATTTTTGTTTAACTGCCTTGGGAATGACTTTTCCATACTACTTTACATAATGAGCCTCTTCCAGTAGTGATAACAAAGCTCCAAGTCTTCATCACATGAAAAGACCTGGCAGATTTTCTGCTACATGTGATTGACAGAGGGTGATAGGTATAGCACATTTGAAAATTGAACAGATTTTGAATGTTCTTATATATGTTTGCTTCATTGAAATAATATTCAAAATTTTCTATGTTCTTTTGGCTATTCTCACAATTTGTACAGGATACCATTGACAATTTTGTCCAGGTTTATCACTTTTCTGAACTAATTCATCCATTTAGGAAATGTAACAAATTACTACTTCACATTGACTTTACTGTGATTAGAAGATTTTTTTAAACAAAAAACAAATGGCATTGGAAGAATTAAATATTCATTTACGAATGCAATGACACACAGAGTAATCTAAAAATGAATCCTTGTTCAAAAGTCACTCAAAATTAAATGTGCATTTAAAATTTCAGTTTTAATATGTAAAATTATTAGGAGAAAATCAAGCGGGACGTCTTTGTGACTTAGTTTAGGCAAGATATCTAAGTTATGTTAACCAAAGAGCTACCTGCAAAAGAAAATATTCATAAATTGGAATTAATCAAAACTGAAAGAGCTGAAAATCATCAGGATAAGCAAAATAAGCTATCCTGAGAAAAACAAATATCATGTGTTTTCTGTCACATGCAAAATATATACCTAATAATAAAATGACAGGAGGTAAGACTCATAGGGAGGAGAGGGCCCAAGGACAGGGTAAAACATGAGCAAATCACTACCTAAATGAAGTCAATATGTGCAGAATGTTAAAAGAATTTCCAAAATTTAATAAATGAATGAAAACAATTGAACAGAAATGAAAGTGGTGGCCCATGACTGAAATCCAAGCACTCAGGAGGATGAAACCAGAGGATAATAAGGTGGAGATCAACCTGTCCAAAATCATCAACCAAACAAACAAACAATGAAAAATAAATACCTAAATAAATAAATAGTACTTTATCCAAGGTGATATACAAAAATCATACAACCACATAAAAGTCGTTAAAATTTAAATTAAACCCAAAATAAGACAGTGCTGTACAAGTATTTTAATAGTTTGATCTATGATTAAATAAAATGCATTAAAATGTTACAACTAAAAATTGGTGAATATATAACCTCGAATGCTGATAACTTCCTATGTGCAGTCATGATACTTCTAAAATATGATTGTCAATGTATTCATTAAACTTTTCATTTGCATAAATCTATCCCTACATCTATAGCTAGACCATTTTCCTTCATTGCATTTTATAAGCTAGTGTCCACATATGTTTGAATACATGGGTGTTACAAATACGTATTTTATTTTATTATCATTATGATGAGAGGGGATAGTGTTAATCAAAATTGGTCCTTGACTGTAACAACCTGAACTTTTAGATTTTAATAATATCCAACCATTAATAATAGTCTCAGTTGGTCTCATTGCAGTTCAAGTGGAAATTGATTTTCTAGTCTGCCTTCCAGGTTGGTGATCTAGTTACTGAAGATTAAATGCAGAGTTATGTCTCTAAATTCTGTATTTCATTTCAGTTCATATACCTAGAAAGTAATAAGTGAGAGTTGATGTCAATCTCTGTCCCCTTAATTCACATTCTGGGAATGTTGAGTTTTGCCTGACCAGTGTAGATATGGACAAGAAATACCCTGCAGATCACAGAACTGCCCCAACCACCCTAGAACTCTGACATGTCAGATTTCAAGTAAAGAAAAACAAAATTCTTTCCAGCTTAAGGCTTTGGATATTTGCATCTTTTTAAAGAACACCCCAGTTTATGTCATTAATAATTTATAATTATAACATGATATTTGTAAGGCTAATATCAATGTATACATACATGCATTGATGGGACTGTGGTTTGAACTCAGGGCTTCACACTTACAATGCAGGCACTCTACCTCTGGAGCCGTACCTCCAGTCCATTTTGGTTTGATTATTTTGGAAATGAAGTTCTCACAAACTGTTTGTTTGGGGTGGTATCGAAACATACTCTTCTTGATCTCAGTCTCCCAAGTAGTCAGGATTACAGGCATAAGCCACCCGTGCCAGCTTCATATTTCTTACTGATCTCAAAAGCTGAAAGAGAGTCAGAAAAATTTCAGAAGTACATGTAAGGCCAAAAAGGTTTTTGTTTGTTTGTTTGTTTGTTTGTTTTGGTGTGGAGGGATACAAATTCCTTGATTGGCTGGCAGGAAGAATGGCTTAGTTCAATTAGAAGGTTACCAGCGAAAGGAGTTGATCCCCAGGGTAGAGTAGAGTTATTGCTGAATGACAATTTTAGTTCTGACAGTAGAATGTAGTTAGATGTAGGTACCTACTTTTTCTAGTAAAGTTAATTACATAACTTTAAATAATTTTCTTTCTCTTTCTTCCTCAATTGTTATGCAGCCAATAAAGATAAGTATTGCCTTTAACCTCCATCCAGATAGGTAAGCATGAACTAGTTTTTTCAAATAGAAAATTACTTTTAGAAGTATCTTTACATTTTAGTATCAGTGAATAATATCTACTTACAGATAATTTTAAATAATCATTTTGATTTTTGTTAAATTTCAAAACCCTGAAGTAGTTAAAATTATATTTTTCTAAATTTAATTTTTATTTAAATTTGATGAGAACAAAACATAAAGATCTGTATTATCCAGCATGGACATATGTTGAACATTATCAGCATTTTCATGATCTATACTTAATATTTGTTAACTATATTATGTTAAGGTTATATTTTTGTTATAGATTTATTATTAGGTGACGGTATCTTGTTAGTGCACAATTTTATATAACTAATTATAAAGTTGTTGAGTGGATGTTATTGAAATTGGTTTGCATTCTACCATTCTAGGATCCAAGGGATTTCTCATTTCTTTTAATCATTGTCCTAATATTATTCTCTAAATTGAACTAAATTATAATGAGTATGTAAAGGAAACCACATAGAAGTATTATAGAATTCCATATTAAAAAAGTTACTACTTGACTCTTACTTGGTGAGAGTATGTTACAGGATTTTCACAATCTCCAAAAACAAATGTTAATTAACAAATATGCCATATTATGGGAGACTTTAAATATTTAAATAATTTATTAACTTGTCTAGTATATTGTAGATGACAAAATAAATATATATTCAACTTTGCTTTTTTGAACATAGAAAATCTTTAGGATTTGTCACTATATGTTATTAACTCTCTTCTGTCAATATGGTTTGAAGCTCACATTTTGATCACTGTGCTGTCATACCAGTCTTAGTATATGGTTATAGATTTGTCTCCTACTTGGAGTGAATTTTTCTCTTCTGCCTTCAACTTACTCACCATATAGAATATGGATGTGATCTAGCTCTTGCAAAAAGCAATGGCATGAGATGTTTCATCAAGAGTGAATAAACCCATGATTCCTACACACCCTCATTTCTTCCTGTCTACCTTATGGACATGCTCACAAAAATACAGGTAATACATGCTTAATCTGCATTGGAAGTGGGGTTTGCATTTTGGCTCAGAGCCATTGCATAGAGCTGGGAGATATTCCAATGAAACAACCAATCTGAATTGTTAGTAATTTCTCCAGGAACTCAGAAAGTCAAATTTTGTGAAATAATTATCTGTGCATGACACATAAAATATAAACACAATCAAAAGAAACTCCCTCTAGAGGTAATCAAATAACATAAAATTTGGTAATTGACACTTCAATATCTTACATCAGTGAACAAACTCACACAGAAGAAATGAGTGAATAGAATGAATGATGTCAGCTAAAATTGATGATTAATGAGGAAGTAAGCGATTTTGGACAATCACAGAGATGAGTTCTGCATGATATCCCTTTTATATAATAAACATTCAAATGTGTGCATGCTAGTTAGAATTATTCTCTTACTGTTACTAAACAGATAACATCCTAGATTTCCATTTCTCAACTGTATGATATGAATAAATTATCACTGATGTTTCATAGAACTTACCTTTGAATTTAAACACTGTTTTAGGATGAATATTACTCCTTTATATTTGATGGGTTAATAATATTTGACAATAATAACCTTGCCAAATTGTGTGGGACAAGATTTGGAAATATATAACAAGATCATAATTTAAAATGAAATATGAAAATATTTAAACAGGAAAACGAAATATCAACTTGAACAATGAGACAAAGTTTTAATTAATATCAATAGGAAACAATTGGAAGATAATGACAAAAACTTGGCACTCTAGTAAATGAATAATTGCTATATGGAAAATTGATTCAGATTTTGAGATTCAATTGGTTCAAATGGATTCCAAAATTTAAAATAATACAGTGCATCACTATAAGCAAATGAATATAGTAATTTTTGGATAAAAAAGAAAATTTTAATATGGCTATATCTCAATAATGAAAGATATAATTATTAAACTTGTAGAATTTATGAAAATTATAGTATTTAATCTTACAGGGAGTGGGTAAGGGCTAGTGGAGTAGTTCAAGCTATGGAGCAATTGCATAGCAAGCATAAGTCTTAAGTTAAAACCCCAATATCACCAAAAAAGGCAGAGGGGAATAGGTAAAACATGAATGTGTGCCATGCTTGGATTATACATATGAAAGCAAATACTGAGCTGAGGGAAGTGACTTGAACTTCTGATGAAATAATTCCCACAGATGAACCATGAAGAGATCAGAGGAGAAGACATTATTTCCTCAGTGAAGCAATTTGTCCTATTGGGATTCTCTGACCTTCCAAACCTCCAAGGATTTTTATCTGGTGTGTTCTCTATTATTTGCATAATTATCCTACTTGGAAACATCCTCATAATTATATTAACTAGTCTTGACCCAGCACTACAGAAACCCATGTATTTTTTTCTAGCAAATTTTTCTTCCCTGGAATTCTGTTATGTATCAGTCACTCTCCCCAGGATTTTGGTCAGCATTTGGACTCAGAAAAGAAGCATTTCTTTGCTGAACTGTGCCACTCAGATGTGTTTCTTCCTTACACTGGGAGTCACTGAATGTTTTCTCTTGGCTGTGATGGCCTCTAATCGCTATGTAGCAATCTGTAATCCTTTGCACTATCCTCTGGTCATGAACCCAAAGAATTGTATCCATCTGGCAGCCAGATCCTGGCTTGGTGGAATCCCAGTTCAGATAGGGCAGACGTGTCAAATATTCTCTCTTCATTTCTGTAATTCTATCCAAATTGACCACTTCTTTTGTGATATACCCCCCATTATCAAGGTAGCCTATGGGGACACTTCTGGGCATGAGCTGTCTGTCTATGCAGTAGCTACATTGTTTGCTGTGGTGCCTTTTATGCTGATACTTGGGTCATACAGCAAAATCATTTCCACCATTCTGATATTGCCCACAGCCACAGGATGGGGTAAGGCATTTTCCACATGTTCTTCCCACCTTCTGGTTGTGGTTTTATTTTATGGATCTGCTAGCATTACCTACTTAAGACCAAAATCCAATCATTCTGCAGGAACTGATAGACTACTCTCTCTTTTCTATACCATCATGACTCCCATGTTCAATACAATGATATACAGTCTTAGAAACAAGGAGGTGATTGCAGCCCTGAGAAAATTATTACTTAAAACATAGTGCCATGTGCTCAAATGAGTGATTTGGTAAATGAATGTCACTATCCCTTATTGCTGAATCCTGGCAAATTCTGGAGGTTTTACAGCATCTGTAAGTAGTGGAGTTATTTCTTTCACTGACTCTGCCTCATTATGGAGTGTTTCAGAATAAAAGTAAAAAGGAAAGAATCATATCCTCATATCCTTTGCTGATAAGTATATGAAAGCACATGGTGTAACAGCACTCCTACATGTCTGAGATGGGTTTATTTTGCCACAGTTTTTCCTCCTTTGGTATTGTTGTCCCAAAGTAATTTGGTTTTACTTATTTCAACTGTTTTTAACTTCACTCTAAATAACTATTCGTACACATGCACATATTTAGTTTTGAAAAAAAGAGGGTGTAAATGTAAAGTGTTCAAAGTTATTTCAGAATTTTCTGAAACCCACACTGTTGCATTACCTTAGTTTCCTTAAACTTTCATGCTATTTCTACAATATTGAAAATTAATAAAAATTTGAACTGAAGTTAGTGATGGAGTTCATCATCAATCAATAGAATCAATGTCCATCTATTCAATAGCAGGTTCTCAAATCAACAAAGCATTTTAAGTGATTTCTTTTTAGTTCGTTTGACAATTATTCCATTCTGTTTTATTCGTAATGATTGTACACAAATATACAAGGCAATCTTAGCTTCTGGTCTCTATTTAACTGTATTTGTCCTTCTTCAGCCTATTTGGACCCTTCACCATCTGACTTAATGTATTGCATTTATCTAGTTAACACATGAAAGAAATATATATTATTTATCCTTTATCATTTATTGTTTATGTTACATGAATTTGGCTAATTTGAAAAACAAGGCTAATGATAATTATAATGATAAACACAATATTATATGTGGAAATCCTTTTGTTAGTGGTTCATTATTTGAAATTTAGTAATGCTGAAATAACAATTTCATGGTATAGTCCCAGGTGTTCAGATAATGGAATTTAAATCTTCCCTTAATTATTGAGTAGTAACATGACATTTAACTACATTTGTGGTAACATTTAGAATTACCAAATGTGTGATAATATACTCAAATAAGGTGTAATGTCCCCCTAAGATAAAACAATATTTTGTAATGTTCTATTAGGAAACATTTGAAAAGTAAACTGCATTTAAACAAAACTCATAGAGGAATCATGAGGTCTTTTGTATTTTGTGTTTAAATTCATTGAGATAATCACATAATCCTATTTTTGAGGAAGGGACATTCCACAGTATCAATGACTAGTGTATGCTGCTCCTTTGAAAGAATCTGACCTGTCCTAAGTAGTACAGGACGTGCTTGCCTTGGCTACCTATAAACCAGAACATTGACTCTGTGTTCACCTTTACATTTAAACCTCAGTTCAAAAAAGGATTTTTCTTGGATCTCAAGCCTGCTGACTTTAAAATGTAAATGCACTGTCAGTTATTTCGGTTCATAGATATTTGTATTTATATCAGAACAAAATCATTTGCTTTCCTTGGACTCCTGCTACCAATGAACTCTGCAGAGCTTGGATATTTCCAGCTTTCATATTTACATTGACAATTTAATCAATCTTAATTATAAAATAGATTATTGACACATGTAAATATCATTATATATAATACTATCTCATGTATGAATTCTTGTGTACAATGAAATTGAAGTTATTAAATTAAATGTAAGAACCTGTATTTGCTGTGTGACTTTACTATTATCTTTAGGATCTATGTTTTTCTGTCAATTGCTCCCTGTTCTCAAAAAATACATGGGTATTACCTTCTAGAAGGTAACTCCCATGCACAGGAAATCAATGTGAGTCAACTCCCTGTACAGCTATCCTTATCTCAACCAGGAAAAACCCTTGTTCCTTCCTATTATTGCTTATACTCTCTCTACAACAAAATTAGAAATAAGGGAAAAATAGTTTCTGCTGGGTATTGAGGGGGTGGGGGGGAGAGGGCGAGGGTGGAGTGGGTGGTAAGGGAGGGGATGGGAGCAGGGGGGAGAAATGAACCAAGCCTTGTATGCACATATGAATAATAAAAGAAAAAAAATACATGGGTATATCAAGTTTTACATGAAATTCCATTGAGCTTATCCTTCAGTTTTTCCAAAACAACTTAGCTACTTTCAATATTGATAAAAATACTGGTATTTCCATGTGATTTTTAAAATAAATTGTTTGTGATTTTTTAATGAGGTAATATTCATTGTAGGGGGGATTCATTGTGATATTTCTGAATAGCCTTATATTGTACATTGGTTAGATAGCCCACACCATCTCCCTACCACACTTAAAGCAATTGCAGGAGTTTTCATAATTGTGTTTCAAATATGTATATGAAGCCCATCAATCATATTCCCTCACCTTCGTCTCCTCCATTCACACTTGCCCTTTACAGAAGTATCCCCCCACACAGTGTACCTGGTGTTTGACATAAGCTAAGTGGCAACAGTCACACATATGAATTTTTAAACTATTTTTGTAGGACCTCCCCCAATAAACGGGGTTTGTTATAGAATTCTAAGTATTTGCAAAACTCTTCTCAATAATACAAAACATAAAATGATTCTGTTCAGTTATCACTGATAATATATTTATAATAACTAATGTATTTTTTAAATCACCATGACAATAATCTGATAACTTCCCTGTAGTTTTCCTTCAAAATAAAAATGTTTTTTGTATCCTTCAATTTCCCTGAAGCCTAATGATGTCCAATGTCTTTATGACTTATTGGCCAGTTGTATTTATTCATTTGAAAAGTGTCTGTTCAATCCATTTGCCCATTTACTGATTGAATTTGTTTCACAATTAATATTTTGAGTTCCTTATTAATATTCTTTGGATATTATTCCCATGTCTCATGAATAGCTGGCAAAGAATTTCTCCCACATTATAACCTGTCTTCACTGTATTGTTTCCTTTTATGTGCAGAAGTTTTTTATTTGGATAAAGCCACATTTCTCAATTTTTGTTATTGTGTCCTATACAATGGAGTGTTATTTACTCTCTAGGAAGAATGGAATTATTTGTATTTTTGGAAATCAGGCAGTACTAAATATGATCCTATTAAATGAAATAAGCCACAAGCAGAAAGAAAACCAGCACATAGGGGACAAAACTTTCAAACTGTATTATACATGTATGAAAATGTCATAGTGAAATTTGTTATGCTAAACAGTTAATACAATCTGGAATATCCTTCATTTTTCATCAATGAAGTGAAAATTCATGAACAAACTCTAGGTTTTTTGTAACATTATTAACTTGGGCAATAAAAAATAATACCTTCCTACGGTTGTTAGACTATAAGCGCTATAAAATTTCAAATTGTGGTTATGTAATCAAAACCACTTAGTGACACACAGTATTTTGATTGATCTTTATTCATCTACTTATTTTATTATATATTATTATTGTCATGGGGGTACATTGTGACCTCTACAAAACGTTCTTTCAATATGTCATAGTTGAATTCACCCCCTCCATCATTCTCCTTTGTCTTCCACCCCCTACCCCATTCCTGGAATAGTTTCACCATGTCTCATTTTTACATTTTCATTCATGAGTACATAATATTTCCACTATGTTCACCTTCTTCACCCTTTCGTTATATCTTCCTCCAACATTTCACAAATTCCATTTAACCCAAAAATTCTAGCTTCTTCCTGATCGCCTCCCTCTACTCTCCTGTGTCCTCTCTTCCTTTTCATGTTTATCTAAATTGAATTCCTACATTATCATAAAGAATGATGAATATAACATTCCCAAGAGCATATAGTATGTTTCTCCAGTAAGTATGGGAAACATTGCTTCCTCCTCTCAGCAAATCCAACCCCTCGACCTGTCTCAGTCACTAAATTACCATTAGTGAGGTTAGAACATTGAGTCTGTGTAGTCTGTTTTCCTGTTCAGTGTGCAGCCTGTGATGAACCTTCTCAGAAATCTTCATTACATTTTTATCAATAAGCCTGACTACTTAACAATGACCTGGAAAATATGTCATTTGTCAGTCTTCAACAGTTAGAATTTAAAATTTTTCATTGAAAGCCTATGTGGCTTCAAGACCACCATCACAGATCAGTGAATTAAAGTTTTCCATTCACTTCACCCAGAATGTAATCTAGATTAGATCATTTTTTAATGAAAACTGTTCATCCAGTGCAACCTTGGTCAATCAGTTTTCCAGACTGCCAGAGATATATAGAATGTTTAAATCTTATTTCCAGTGGGATTCCCCTGTTCCAGAGTTCCTTTCACTCTATGAATTAGTATGAAATAAATCCTATAGACAGTAAATCTTTCCATGTTTTGATTTATTTGTGCCTATCATTGGTGATATATCCAAATATTCTCAACAACAGCTGTTTATTCCTCAGTAGGAGCAGAATTGCCAATGCTAAAGATTGACTGATATTTGAAAAATGCTGGCTTTGGTTATTTTTTCTTATTTTCTATTGTTCCCTTAAACTTCTGATTACTTGTATGCCATTCTTCATATTGAAAGATTTTCGTTGGAACTATGATCAAATATTTTTAAAACTTTTTTGTGGACACATAATAATTTTTCTCCACCAAGATCAGCATTTTTAAAATTATATTTTATTTTCAAGTTAACATTTATTAATTATACAAGATTTCATTATGATTCCATACATGAGTACAGTGTACTTTGAACAAGTTCACCTCTCCACTGTATTCACATTAGGCCGCTTTCTCTCCTCTTTTTCAAACAGTATTTGCTGGATTTCATTTTGTTGACTTCGTGTATGTGTGTGTGTGCTTTAGTTTACTTCTATCCTCTTCTGCCCTCAGTGTCCTTTCTTTTGCCTTCTCCCTGTTTATAACAACAGAAAAAAATGTATATTAGAGCTTTTGCTCACATTTTCTGTGGGGGGAGCAGGAAATGCTTTTCCCTGTTAAATAGAGGCTGCTTTGAGGAAGTATGTTCTGCATCTTTCTGATATGTCTGCTCAGAATTGCGTTCTATTTA